GGGAAAAGTGTCCCACTTGACCACAACTTCTGCATTCGAGTGATTTGGCTGGACACGATGGATCTTTCGAATCATGTCTGCCATTGCATCGGAAACATCTGAACCGCCTTGGTCCTCCGAGTTTGGAGCGTACCTTCAAAATTGACTCTTCATTGGCCTCCGTTTCGACAGCGCTGACTTTTTGTAAGTTTCCGTTCCGATTGTCCAAATCGCTCATCTGTATTTGAACAAACTCGGGGGTACGACCGATCGCTACGATCTCCTTGAAGTTAAAGTCTTTTTCCAGGCACTTCCTCTTCAGTCTCACATCCGTTGTAGTTGTAATAATTTGGTCAGCTACCATGCTTTCCAGCTGATCTCCAAAATCACAGTAGGCTGCCTGCTTTTTCAGTCTGATGACAAAAGTGTCAAACTTTTCACCTTCAGCTGGTTTCATCTCGCGGAACTTCTGATGTTCGGACGGTTTCGAGAGTCTCGGTACAAAGTAATCGTCCAAAATTGACATGGCAATGTGGTACCGGTTCTCCATAGCGTGTGATTCGTCAACATGAACTTGCTTGACCACTTTCCGGATGTCTGGTCCACCGAACATCATCAGGGATTTGAATTTTTCCTCCTGATTGTCAACGTCCTTCCATGCTAGGTATGCTTCAAAATGTTCACGCCACTTCTCCCAGCGGGCAGACACTGGTCCGTCGGCATGGTCGGCAAACGGAGGGATCAACTGGTTTACCTAGAAAACACGCATTTTAAGGTACTTTACGAGCTACACTACGTCTGTGACGTATTTTTATCAAAATTCATGTGATCTGCGTACTACACAAAACTCAGGTTCCGTACTGAAATACATATACACAGTATCACTCTGCGTACTTCATCCCAAATGTTGGGTTCCGCATTTAACATTCTCTAAGTTCAGATTTACTGCGTACTACATCCTTAAACGTCGGATTCCGCTTAAAATATCTCATATTTTCCTGCGTACTTCATTCCAAACGAAAGGTTCCGCTTTCTTTCACATTAGGAATTTCTGCGTACTGCATCCCATGAAACATTGGGTTCCACATAATGATACTTTTTACATATTTCACTGCGTACTTCATCCCGTTACTATGGGTTCCGCGTATTTTGTTTAGAATTTTCCAGAATCACCGGGTCTCACGTCATCAACAAAATTGTTTTAGTGAGAATCATCCCTAAGCGATTAGGATTTTCATTCCGAAAAAAATACCCTGAACCGCCTCTATTTCTTAGGATGTTAAATTCCGGGTTTACGGGAGAAATTGAAATTCAATTTTCTCAGGTAAAATCATCCCTAAGAATTTTCTATCCACGGAAATGATTTCAGGTTTGGTACATTAGAATTTTCCACTGCAAACTCTCTCGAAAATCTGCTTTATCACAAGTACTCACCATAGGCCAAGCCATCTCACGGGGGTCCGAGTAAAATTTTCTGGGGTGGAGTGTCCAAATCCGTGGGTAACTTTTATCGCTCGTCGCCAAAATGTAGAAACGTCTGGTTCGGTCCGAGGTACAACTGATAATGAATATTTATCCTCATGCTTTATGCCCCGTTCACATTACAGCGTATATCACGTGATATACGCTGTCTTGCAATGAGCACTCATACATCTAGTTTTCACTGGAAATTATATGTATGAGTGCTCATTGCAAGACAGCCTATATTACGTGATATAGGCTGTAATGTGATCGGGGTATTAAGGTTGTTACAAAACCAATGGTTGCTTAGATCCTACAATTAGTACTACTCCGAGACTGAATAAAATTTTCGTCAATTTCCTCATTTTCCGGCAGATTTTTTAGGTTTTCCACAGGAAACCATGAGACAAATTTTACTCATCGCTGAGTTCCTGCACTTTTGAGTGAACTAAACTCAAATTTGGGTCGTTCTCATTCGCCGTGCAATCAGCACAGACACAAGGTGGCAGAGTGACATATCCCCTGACATGTGTAGTTTTCATTATATGTAAAAAAAAACCGATTTTTTCGAAAAAATCTAAATGAACCTCCCTTTAATACCTTTGATATATCGATAAGCTTTAAAACAATCTGGCAACGCTGACTGGAGGGTGTATGTTGTTTCATTTTCTTCTGTTCCTGGGAGAGGGAAAGGGATGGGTCAAAATCCGAAACCTCCCAGATAGCACAGTGAAGGATACAAGAGCAAATTTTCATTATGTCGTAAGTAACATTCGCACCAATCCGAGAAAAATCAAGTTTTGTTTTGATGACCGAAAAGTTATTCCTATTTCCAATTAAACACATATAATCTCATAGTGATAGCAATGTTTAACATATTTAGCAGGGTTTTAATCATACAAATGCAAATCGCTAGCTTTCATGCTAAAAAATACTGGTTTTTGAGTCAAAAGTCGTCGTTTGGTGGTATTGTTACTTAAGTCAAAGTCAAGGGGTGGTCACTCTACACACTCATTTTGCGCCAATTTTTTCTCAGTGTACCTCAAGTGTGCCGCAGCTTTGCAGACAGTGCCAACAGTGTCAGTCATCAAACAGGCTGCGCTTGTTTGTGAATATTCAGGCATGTTTGGCAACCAAGTTATTCAGATAGATTGAATGTTTTGGTTTGATCGAATCACCCAAATTATTAGTAAATCGAAAATAAATTCTATACGCAGCCCATAGATTAAAAGGTATAAAAAAGTAGAAAGGTATCAGTTTTCTGTCGAAACCGAGGTCGAAATGTTATGGTGTAAATTTTCATACATACAAAGATCATTATTAATTTTCATGAAATGAAGGCAAAAATGATCGAAAGGCATAACATCCACAAATTGGAAATCAGTGTTACTTAGCGCGGAAGTGAAACACCAACTATCGATTGGAGATGAACAGCATTATGGTGCAGGATTTGTGTTGGTTGCTGGAGATTATCAGCTTCCGAACGAGGAGGAAAACCGTTTGGGATCGTTGGAAAAAGGAAAAGGTTTTCGAAACTTGTTTGATGGAATCTATAAAGGGATGCCAAGGTAAGTTCTTTGTATTTTTTTTTACTTACTTCGAATATTCAATAGTCCCGGATCTTATTGTCTTATGCAATTTTCTGTTGCTTTGCATCGTTGCTTGTGAGCCATTGATTTGTAAACCATTTCTTTCATCGGTCCAGATACACATTTTACGATGGTCCACCGTTTACAACCACGACGAAGGATGTTTTAACTCGATATGCCCACCAGCAGGAGTACGTGGATATGTGGAGCGCCAGATTTATTGGAACTGTCATGGGTTGCCGGCCGAGTATGAAATCTAAAAGACATCAAGGCGTAAAACAACGAGTGCCGGAAGATTTTGATGCCCTACCCAACAAACAATTTTAGCTTCAGCTTAGCTTATACAGGCAAAAATTAGCTGCATAAGGCAAATTTTGGCTGTATAAGCTAATCTGCAGCTGAAATTGTTTGTTGGGTATGCAAACGACTGGGAGTAGATTGCCAGCTTGGACGGTGGATCGATTTGAAGAACAACTGCAGGATACTCTATCTGAAACGTCTGCGGTGATGAGTTCATTAGCATATCAAATTACTCTACGAACATCAAGGAGCTCTGGGACTGCAAATCCAGTGATCAATCTATCAGCAGTTCTATGACAATATCCTGTAGAAAAAAAAAAACATTTCACAAAACAATGCACTTTATACTAGAACTATTATACAGTAGAATTAAAAATCAATTAGTTGAAATAAAATCGTTCATTAGTTAAAACGGAAAAAAAAATCAGCACCAACCCTTCAGATATATCCATATTAAAAAGAGGTATTCTACAGCTATTGGTTGAATTAATTTATGATAAATCATAAAATTTATGAAATTTTACCTGATCGATACCGGAGTTCATGTCTGTCGGTTGCCGTTGCCATGGATATTTTTTCACGAAACATAAGGATGTAAACAATGATTTGCGGCGTACTCAGAAACAGTGTGGTGTTGCCAGTTTTTTTTTAATATTACATGCATTTCTGAATAGGGTGCCCAACAATCCCAATACTGGTGCCAGAGCTGTGCTAAACCTGTTTTTGGCACACTGTGTAGAGTGACCACCCCCTTGGTCAAAGTGTATTTACACGAGACGAAAATCAATTATTTTATTCATGTGTTTCACTTATACAGTTTTGCCAAAACATCAGCCTTATACATTCCATAAGACAAACCACATAGGTCCTATAAGAATGCATAAAAGGTATGTGTGACCGCTTATACATTTCATTTGACACATCATCTTCATTAACTTTTTGCAAGGCGTCTGCTTATAAGTTGACTTATACATTTTATGAATAATCAGCAATATAAATTTGCCAAAAGGTATAAGGAGATTTCTATCCGTGTACCAGGATATTCGGGAGAATTATCAATTACGTCTCCTTACGTGCAGCCCATTCATCATTTTAGGACCACCGAAATCATCTTAGCAACAAACAGTTAATAATGAGAAAGCGAAACGACGAACGTACACTTTTCACGGGTTTCTCAGCGCTGTTACTTAAGGCAAACGGCATCTCCATAGAAATCGGGTGACCCAAGTAACATCGAAAACTATTTTGATCGGAAGGTGATTACGTCAAAAGGCAATTTGACTGGTAAATAAATTTAAAAATGAGATGTGATCCTTTATTCGGACAGTATATAGTGTAATAGCAGGAGCATCGATTGACACTGATAGCTCGACTTTGCTCACCTTTGTTACTTTCGACGTAAAGAAAATTTGCTCTTGATTTATGCATACAAACAGGCCGCCATTACCGAGCATGGAAAGCTGGATTGATTCAAAGATCCATCAAATCGCCCAATTCTAATAAAAAAAAGCACATGAAACAGGCCTACCTAATGACAGATACGCCATCTCCCTCTTGTTTGGGCCACAAAGGCTGTCAAAACTCTTCGTATAAAGCGCACGAATCGGAAAACGCACGATCGCTCGCGGACGAGAAAAAAAAAACAGACATCATAAACCATTTTGACAGCAATACAAGAAAAAAGGAAAAGTTTACTCCAAGTTTATACTGCTGCATTTTTTCCCCGTATAGAAAACGGCGTCAAATTTGCGAAAACCGAGGTTAAACTGTTGCCCAGTACAGTGTTCAAAGTGCAGTAGCTGCAGATTAAGATACATCCGCGAAAGAAAAGGTGAAAGCAATCGCAGATTCTGACGATTGTGTTGGACTACTGCGTTGCAAGTGGTAGAGCCAGCCGAAAAGTTGGTCGGAGTGAAAAAGACCTCCCCGCCCCCCCGCGAAGAACCGGAATCGCAGGCGGATCTCGTCGGAATCGTTAGTGGACGGGAAACGGGTTCTCTGATTTGCGAGGTGAGAATAGTTTCTGATGAATTTGTTTTTTTTTTGTCTGAAATAACAGCCCTTCATCACCCACCCACACTGAAAAAAAAGCAGCAGCAGGAAGGGGGTAAACTCCCCCGTATTTTCGAATGGCGCTGGCTGTGTGTTGTGTTTATCATTAAAAAGTCCCCGTTGTTGGTTTGAGTCGTATTGTTTTTTGTAACTCTGGCGGTCGATGCAAAATAATAGATGTAGGGAATCGCGGATTGATTTTGCCCCGTCGTCACCATCGCCAAAGAGCGCGTCGGCGGCACGGTGTGGTACGCAGTTTCCGCGACCTTGCATTTTAATTTATTCACAAATAACACATTCTTTTTTTCCGCTCTCGTCGTTTGCTTCCCTGATTGGTCTTCTTCTCGCATAGACTTGCATTTTGATTTACGACTTACTGACTAACTACAACAAAATTGGTTAAAAATGAATTTGAATTGGGTAGGTACCTACGCATTGTTGATTGTTTCGTCTTCACTTCCAGTGTCGCAGAGTAGCTGAATCCAGCGGAAGGCAATTTGAACTCTCGGACTTGGACGCATCTATGGCTGCGAAAGGCCTACCGTTGGCCGAAATTGAGGTTCCGTCCCAGCTTATGTTTCGTTGAAAGTCAAATAACTTAACTTGTTCTTTGGTTTCAGAATCGTTAATTGAAATTCACAACAATCTAAAACGACGAGAACTGTCGCCGAACAGGAAATTAAATCACAAACCCTCGAAGGAATATGGCAAAAGAATATGATTACTTGTTGAAGGTGCTTCTGGTAGGCGATAGCGACGTTGGCAAGCAGGAAATTCTGTCCGGATTGGACGACGGCTCGTCGGAGAGCCCATTCTGCAGCGGAAGCAGTAAGTATGGCAGGAGCAAATATTTTGTAATATCTCATTGAAAACAATGTCGGCTGTGGAGAAGATTCGACCGCATGGTTGGCGTAGACTACGTTAAGCTGTTTGGTAAACTTCTCGTGCATTTTTCCTGATATTGATTTTTAAAATCAAACGGGTGGTTTCCGATTCTTAGAGCAACATAAATTGGAAATTGGGGGGTTCAATTATCCATTTTTAAATTCAAAGCTAAAAGTTCGTATACAGGTTCTCCACCCCTGTTTTGATAGCAAGCATCACGGGTCGATGCAAAAATTAGCGGAGGCGCGACAACAGCGCACAAGTGGTCGGGGATTGCAAAATCACGAACCTAATTGAACTATGTATAAACTATTGACTTAATCAGCGTTGTAAGTAATTGTCGAGAAGGCCAATAGCTCCTGCCTGAAATGTAGAGCTCTCAGGATCTGGATACAGGAATCCGCTATGAGATGGACTCCGCAAAACGACTGGCAGATTGAAGTCACCCAAAATGAATATCTCATCAACTAGTTGAGGTTCATGGTCCAGGACTCGATCAGGTGAAATGTACAGAGCGCATAGAAATAGTGTGCGATCACCTGCTCCACATTGTTCCATGACACTGACTTTTCTGCTGCCTTCGATAAGATAAATCACGCCATCGCGATCGCCAAATTGGATAGACTTGGGATTAGCGGAAATCTCTTGAGATGGTTTTGCTCATATCTCGCCGATCGTCAGTTGGTGGTAGCCCATGGTGACTGCCAGTCCGGCATTTTCGCAGCTACGTCAGGAATACCTCAAGAAAGTCATCTGGGACCGTTGATTTTCTTCAATGACGTGAATTTAGTTATCGAAGGTCCACGACTATCGTATGCAGACGATCTCAAAATCTACTTACGGATCTGCTCGATCGATGATTGTCAATTCCTCCAAAGTCAGTTTGAAGCGTTTGCCAGCTGGTGCCATTTGAACCGAATGACAGTAAATAACGTGTGAGCCATGTAAAAGATCTAGGTGTCATCCTGGACTCTCAACTTACATATAAGCAACACATCTCGTACGTCGTCGACAAGTCGTCAAGGACGTTGGGCTTTATCTTCAGAACAGCTAAGAATTTCTCCGACATCCATTGTCTCAAGTCACTGTATTGTTCCCTGGTACGTTCCATTCTAGAATATTGTTCTGTGGTTTGGAGTCCGAACTACAACAATGGTACTGAGAGAGTCGAGTCCGTTCAACGCCGCTTTCTGCGATACGCGTTGAGAATGTTACCTTGGAGAGACCCGTTTCATTTGCCCAGCTATGAAAGTCACTGCCAGCTGATTGACTTGGAGCCTCTTCGCACCAGAAGAGATACTTAAAGCAAGTAAACATTAACGTCCAACCCCGAATGCTTCGTAACAATGTTATGCTGAGAATGCCACTACGTAGGACAAACTATGCAATCAACGGTGCAATAGGCGGACTGCAGCGAGTATTTAACCGAGTTTCATCAGTATTCGATTTTCACCTGCCACGACTAACACTTCGGAGACGTTTCTCTTCATTCTTCTCCAGAAATGGAAACAGTCAATGATCATGTTTTAATGTTTTGTAGTTTTAACTTATGACTTTAATTTTAATTTTAAGTTAAACCATCATCGAGTCTGTTGATGCTGACAAATAAATTCTATAAATGAATCGTTCTCGATGGCCTTTGCCTCCAACCCGTCACGGACAGCTACAAGGACACCTCCACCAGTAGATTTACGGCTGTTGTTAGGATTTTGTTCGCAACAAAAGACCTCCCATCGTAGCAACGATCCGATGCTGTATCGGCAGTACTCTTCAACATCAGAATTAATTCCATCGGCGTTTTGGTAGAAGATCACGATGTCCTGCTTGCAGCAAGGAATCGAACAACTGTTCTCCCTGAAAATCACAGATACATCAGGCAATAACTGCCCATCGAATACTCGCCATAGCGAATGGGTTGGAAGAGCCCCTCTCCACATCCGAAAGCAGGTCCGGAACGACTATGACGAACGAAAGCTGCCGATGGCAGGACTGAGACGGAGGGATTGGGGGCTTCGATAGAGCTTTCTACGGCGCGTTCCGGTTTCCCAGGATTGGGAGTTATAGAGGCAGCATCACAATGATTAGCATAGTCCGAATTGCTGAAAATGTGATCGGCATCAGGCAGTTAATGGTCAATATATTGATTGTACTCGTCTGTAGAAGCAGGCTGGAAGAGTCCTGTTTCATATCCAGCCACAGGTCCAGGTCGACTATGCTGAGCGCTGGCAGGAATCTGCACAACTGAGCTGGAGAAACCAGGGGCTTTCAAAAAGCGGTATATTTTGCGTCCAGGAGATGAATTAGGATTGTTCGAATAGTAAAGCGGATGTGTTGTAAATGAGCAGTATCAGAAGTGCTTCTTAACTGGAAACAACCGGCAGATGTTTGAGGCGTTGCACTGGAACACTGAAGGCAAATTACTGTAACTAATGTATGCATACTTGCATGAAGACCGAACTCGACCGCAGGTCCAGAACGACGCTGATGGCGGGAATCAGCATACTGGGTCTAGTCTGGAGATGGGAGTTGAGAACTCGGAAGGTCCCGGAACAGGAGAGATCGTGAGGCGTGTTCCTTTCGGCCATATATCCGATATAAGAGCAACTTCGCGTAGTTTGGGAGCCAATCCTACTTTGGGGTTCAGGGACAGTAAGGACCTTGGTAAAGACATCGTCATCCGTTTGCTTTAGTACCACCAACAATTGGTTTGCCAGTAAGCGAGCCTTCATCGGGGCAACCCAAGTGTGTTGGAGTTGTCAAAGCGATCCGTTTCGACAGCTGAGCGATCCTTGCTTAGCCATTTCCTTCCTAAGCTCAGCGTGTGCGATTTCCTGGCTCTCGGTGGTAGAATTGAACGCACTATCAAACGACGAAACAGCAGTTTTGAACCGAGCACATTTCGTCAGCTTCGCGGACTCGTTGCACATCCAAAACAAGTTTGGGCTAGTGTGGACAATATTCAGAAAAGCCATGTCCAAGTTTGCGCCGCCGCATTTCAGGTGAATCATCCTGTCGCAAAACGCCAAGAACTTGGAAGATGCGACCAAAGTACGACTGCTCCTGAGGAAGTTGGATCGGATACACCAATTAATTATATGATTTGAGTACTAGCTATACTGAAGGTCCGAGAGATGTCGCCCCTTCAGTGGTAAGAAAATCATTTTTGCAGTATGGAGAATATCAGAAAATTCACGATTTGTGACTAAACATGCTTTCACAGAAGGAAACCAATAAACGAGTGTAATGTACTCGTGCAATTTTTGTGCATCTACTGGCCCTCTGGATGTGGATGATGTCAAAAACAACAAAACATGATTTGATTTGATTTGATTTATTTATTACACCATCTTCGACTTCGACTGAATAACTTATAATTAAACATAAACCTTATCTTTAATCCTATTACTAAACACATTTTTAGACAAATTCAAATCGAACTCATCGCTAACGTCATTGAATGCTCGAAGACACGAGTCGAATGGATTATTATGGCCGTAGTTTGTCCTATGGTAAGGAACCGCTAGGAGTGGCGAGTGGCGGAAGCGTCTGGGTGGAGCATTCAGTGGAATCTGTTCGAGAAGTGCAGGACAATCGATGGATCCTTTGATGAGGTCAAAGACAAACAATCGTTGCATGTTGGCTCGCCTGGCAGAAAGGCGAGGAAGTTGACGAAGAGCGAATCTTATGAACCTTTTCTGCACACGTTCGATCGTCAGAGTCTGTGTTACATAATACGGCGACCAAACTGGTGCAGCGTACTCCAGGATACAGCGCACCAACGAACAGCAGAGTGTTTTTAGAGCATATACATCGGTGAAGTCAGAAGCGTGTCGACGGATGAATCCTAATACCGAAAAAGCTTTGGCTGATATAATCCCTACATGATCGTTGAACCTCAACTTTGAATTGATGGTGACTCCCAGATCGCAGATCGAATTTACCCGTTCGAGTGTCTCTGCGTCCATATAGTACTGATGGTGAGTTTGACCGATACAGCGAGTGAAAGTTATTATCTTGCACTTCTTGCTGTTAACGCGCATGCCGTTGTCACCGCACCAGATAAGCATGACGTTTATATCCTCCTGCAAAGCGTCACAGTCTAAAATCGAGGCAATGATGCGATACAATTTGAGATCATCGGCAAAGAAAAGTTTGAATGATGAAAGTAGTATGCACAGGTCGTTAATAAAAATGTTGAAGATTAGAGGACCGAGAACGCTACCTTGCGGTACACCAGACATGATGTTGAATGAATGGGATCGCGCAGAGTTAACAACCACATTAGCATTTCGATTCGATAAGTACGACAAAAGCCACTCTGTTATCCAATCGGGGAATCCTATGTGCTTCATTTTATCAGTGACTAGAATGTGCGGTACAGTATCGAACGCTTTAGCAAAATCAATATACTACGCAGTAGAAGATCCCACTCGATACCAGCAAACGCGTTGTTTAGGAGATCGTTGTCGCATGCTTTAAAATCGAACTTGAAACTCTCGTCTTGGTCGTCCATTGCAGCCAGATCGTCGCTGCTCTCGTCGAGTAGTAAAATGAATGGCTCGTGATGATTGTCAACGGGTAACAGTGGAGTAGAGGGTGCGATGACGTCTAGATGCTCAGGTAGGTTGACGAACACGAGATCGAGAAGTCAACCGTTCATGTTGACGCAACTGTTTATCTACTGGAAGCCGATAACAAACATATTTTCGATGAGGAATTGTTCGTGTTCCGAAGAAACGTTTGAGGGAATGTAACCATTTATATCACCAGCCAAATGCCAGCGCAAATTCGACAGGTTAAAGTCACCCAGTGATAGAATAATGTCACCTTCTGAAGAACGGATTGACATATGCTGAACTGCTTTTGCATGACCTGAATTTATGTCGGAGCATGAATTCGATGGACGATGTAAAGCGAACGATGCCCCAACCTTACGCAAACTG